AATAAGAAAATCATAAAATGGGAAAAAATAAGGGTTGACTAAGTTGAAATGATTTTACTATTGTATAAGATAGGTTACACTTGATGTCCTTCCTCATAATTGAGGATTTAGTTCATATAATATGGCAAACTTGAACTATAGAGGATGGATTCAATGATGAAAGTTTGAGGAGCCTTGGGGCACTACATTTGTCTTCGAAAGATCATATATAGTATGTTCAATCATTTTTTCTTTGAGGAGAGGAAACAAAAAATCAAGAAGTTTAGTATAAGTCATAGTGTTCACAACATTAGGTGGAGTTAGTGTCAAATTCATGTATTAACCTTATTTGTGATTGTGTGCAAGTCAGCGAGCATCAGTGGTATTGATGGCATGCACCAACTTTATGAGTGGTGACATACATTAATATTATTGAAAATGATTGGCAAAACTGTTTATGTCGACAATGTGAATGGATTGATAGGTGATGGTGTGAATAAATGTTACTGAAAGAGATGAGCGATCAAGTTAGGGGGAGTCTTAATAGCATGCATCAACCATATAGGAAATGGCTTGCATGAACATTTTAGCTACGATGAGCGATGAAGTTGACGGACAACAATGATTTTTTTTTAATATTATACATTAATCTTATAGGATATGGTGTGTGTGTCAATATTATTGGCAATGGCAGGTGATAAAGTTGGCTGTTGTTTTTTTTTTTAATGAAAATCATAGTCGAGCAGTGACAATTGTAAGAAGTGATCATTAGCTTTAATTATTAGATAGAGCTTTAGATCCATTCATATTTCTACCATAGTGATCATTAGCTTTAATTATTAGATAGAGCTTTAGATCCATTCATATTTCTACTCTCTCTCTCTCTCTCTCTCTCTCTCTCTCACGTGCGCGCATGCGCACGCACACCCACACACATATAAATTCTAAGCCCAAGCTCTCCTTCATGTGAAAATGGGGGTTTATTTATAATTTATTGGGATAACACCTTAGTAATTTTAATCAAAATGTTAAAATATTGCATCGTATGGTCTACACTAATACTTTTGATCAATGATCATTCTCTTAAAACTTACTTATTTTAATGACTTTAGAATTGAGTGATCTTGAGCTTAATCAATTTTTTTGGTATTAAGCAGCTCATTTTGATGGTAAACACCAAGAAACCATAATTCCAATCAAACAAGACATACTTTCCCCTAATCCCTCTCATCCCCTTTAATACAAGATCTTTCCTAATTTAATTTTCGTCCCAAATCCCCAGTTGCCCCCTCCGTTTGAATATTAAAATTTTTTGGAATAATGGGGCTCACTTATTAGGCGGACAAATAAAGGAGGCAGACTCCTTCTGCCTCCTATAAACTAAATGAGCCAGCCCCCTTTTGGCCGGTTGGACCAGTTCATTGTGAACCGGTCTATGAGTTAGGTGTTGGTTTTTTTCATGAAAATCATAGTCGAGCAGCGATAATTGTAAGAAGTGATCATTAGCTTTAATTATCAGATAGAGCTTTATATCCATTCATATTTCTACTCTCTCTCTCTCTCTCTCTCTCTCTCTCTCTCACGCACGCGAGCACGCAGCACACCCACACAAATAAATTCTAGTTCCAAGCTCCCCTTCATGTGAAAATGGGGGCTTATTTATAATTTATTGGGATATCACCTTAGTAAATTTAATCAAAATATTAAAATATTGCATCAGATGGTCTACACTAATACTTTTGATCAATGATCATTCTTTTAAAACTTACTTATTTTAATAAATTTAGAATTGAGTGATCTTGAGCTTAATGAATTTTTTTTGTATTAAGCAGATCATTTTGATGGTAAACACCAAGCACTACAGGAAAATCACCCATTTCCGGCGGTAATTCGTTGGAAAAAAGTTCAAAAGCCGCCGGAAACGTTAAAAAGCCGCCGGAAAAGCCGTCAGAAATGTGACCGCCGAAAAACCGTCGGAAAAAAGTCCAAAAGCCGCCGGAAACATGGCCGCCGGAAAGCCGCCGGAAAATTCCGCCGGAAATCAGTGATTTTCCTGTAGTGAAGAAACCCTAATTCCAATCAAACAAGACATACTTTCCCCTAATCCCTCTCATCCCTTGTAATACAAGATATTTCCTAATTTAATTTCCCTCCCAATCCCTAGCCGCCCTCTCCATTTGAATAATCAATTTCTTTGGAATAATGGGGCCCCGCCCATTAGGCGGACAAATAGAGGAGGCGGACTCCTTCCGCCGCCTATAAACTAAATGTGCTGGCCCCCTTTTGGCAAGTTAGACCAGTTCATTGTGAACCGGTCTAACAGTTAGCGGTTGGTTTTTTTTTTATGAAAATCATAGTCGAACAGCAACAATTGTAAGCAGTCATCATTAGCTTTAATTATCATATAGAGCCTTAGATCCATTCATATTTCTACTCTCTCTCTCTCTCTCTCTCTCTCTCTCTCTCTCTCTCTCTCTC